ATCTTTTTGGCACAAAAGCTAAGTTAAGTTTGGTTCAAAATATTTTAAATAAACATTATAATTTCTGATTTTCTTAATTTGATTTAATTTCTTAAAATAAGTTTTGAAAAAATGATAATTGAAATTTAAAAAAAGTCAGATTTCCAGTTTTTTTTAAAATGGAAAAAAATGGTCAATTTTGCTGACTCAAAAAAAACTAGATTTTTAACGAAAATTTCGGACGTGCTAGGAACGATTAAAAAATGGAAAAAAATACCCCAAAAATACTTTAAAATCTTAATAACAAACATTTAGACGATAAAATTTTGTTTTCGTCAAGTTTGGCGTCTTTTTCATCATGCTATGCTCTTTTTTTAGCGATCTCGTGGAGGTACCTATTATTACTGGTTCCCTTATTCATTTCTATGCTTGGTTGGCTCAGGAGATTTTTGTGGCCTAGCATATGTGCTGATTCCTTAAGCTTACGAATTTTCCAATGGTGTTCCTTGACTATGATCTCAACCTGATCCCACAGAGGGCGTTGATCTCCCTTCTCTCTCCATATGTGGTCAGCCGAGCCTGATTTTTCCACTTCCCCTTGTGTTACAGCTTTCTGGTGTTTTTGAAGCCTTACCTTAAGGGGTGGCCTGTCTCTCCTTTATATTTCTTTCCGCAGCTGCACGGGATAACGTACACACAGTCTTTAGTCATGTTCTCCTCCATGGTGGGTCTTATTTGCGAAAGATATCTGCAAAGTGGAATTGACTGCTAGTGTTTTGGCAACTGGTGCAAATCTTTCCACTTAGTTACTTCTTTATTTGGATTCTGTGCACTTCCATTACTAGTACTGAATACAAGAATGACATTGGTATGGCAATAAAAAGCAACAAAATATTAAAAAGAAATTAAACATCAAAATATTTAAAAAAAAAAACAAAAAAAACATCAAAATATTTTTAAAAAAAAACATCAAAATATTTTTAGAAAAAGCATCAAAATATTTTTTTAAAAAAGCATCAAAATATTTAAAAATAAAAAAGCATCAAAATATTTTAAAAAAAGCATCAAAATATTTTAAAAAAAGCATCAAAATATTTAAAAATAAAAAAGCATCAAAATATTTAAAAATAAAAGAGCATCAAAATATTTTAAAAATAAAGCATCAAAATATTTTAAAAATAAAGCATCAAAATATTTAAAAAAAAAAAAAGCATCAAAATATTTTAAAAAAAAGCAAAAAAAAAATAAAAATATTTAAAAAAAAAAAGCATCAAAATCAAAATATTTTTTAAAAAAGCATCAAAAAAGCATCGAAATAATTTAAAAAAAAAAGCATCGAAATATTTTTAAAAAAAAATCATGACAATATTTTTTAAAAAAGCATCAAAATATTTTAAAAAAAAAAAAGCATCAAAATATTTTTAAAAAAGCATCAAAATATTTAAAAAAAAAGAAAAAGCATCAAAATATTTTAAAAAAAAAAGCATCAAAATATTTTAAAAAAAAAAAAAAAGCATCAAAATATTAAAAAAAAAAAAAAGTATTAAATGACAATGTTGCATATAAAGAAATTTGGACATTTTGAGATGTTTACTGCTGCTATGTGTAAAAGCAGTAGAAATAAGATGGAAGAAATAAGTCAAAAATTAATAATTAACAATGCTTTCTCTAAGAAATTCCAACCACTCTATTTTGACTGTATAAAAGTGTTGTGCCATAGTACCTATTCTTTGGTAATGGACTCTCCCATAGATAATAAGTAGCAGTGGCAAGTCTGCAGAACGGTGTTGAGAACGTCAGTCGAGATTCGGACATTTGAAGTATCAACCATCACAACTAGATTTGCTGCATCATTGACTATTATTTTCCAAGTTCCTAACGTTTTGTACGACTTATTAGAAATACAAGCCTCCACTGTGAAAATACTCCACAACAAAAAGTAAAAGAAATTAAAAATTGACATTGGTTCATTGAAGAGGTGCTGAAAACTTATACTATTACCACTATTTATTTATTTATTCTTGTCACTGTGCAGTGCACAATGTAATTAGACAACAGTTCTCAACCCCCCCCACAATGACCACTATTGAAAGAAGAAAAGTAATAATGTTTAAAATTATCAGTGTGTGGCAGCATTCATTCTACATTTGGCTCAAGGATAAAAGTTATCCCTCAAGTGCTTTGTCCTAGAACTAAAACATTGTCTTGAGGGTAAAAGTTCAAAGAAGAGGTACCCGAGATGTGTGCTGTCTTTCATTATGTTTTCTGAGGGCAGCTGATTATTTTTTTGGCCATATAGTCCTTTAGAGGGCTCTTTTGTCTGTTGCCGTGCAGCTAGCTTAGCAAACGGTAATGCTGTATGTCAGCACAATCTCAATAGAGCAGCCAAGAGAAGGTCATCAGCAGCTTCCTTTGTAAATTATTTTTTTTTTTTGAGACGTCTCAGTAAATAGTTGCTTCTGCACTTTGACTTTTGGAGAGATCCTATACAATACATTAGCCCAGAAACTTAATTTTAACCACCCTCTTTCTATGAAAGTTTACCACCAGCTCCTTTGTCTTTATGGTATTTAAATTAAGGTTATTCTTTAAGTTCCATGCACCCAATCTTTTTATTTCACTCACCTCATCACCTGCTCCCCATGAGTCTAACCATAGTAGTATCGTCTGCAGATTTAATGATCATGTTTGTGGGATGGATATGGTCACCATCACAAGTGTAGATGGTATACAGAATAGGGCTTTATCCACATCCATGTGAGGCACTCGTACTGAACATAAGAGTGGGGGAGAGGTGTGAAAACAAATGAAATACAAGGGAAGCGGATAAATTCTCAGCTCTATCCTCTTTGCAAAATCTGACCAAATATTAGATTTATTTTTCTTTTTAATTTATATAATTATATTTTTTTAAAATTATATTGTTTTTTAAATTTTTATTTATTTTTTAAGGACTTTTGGTCAGGCCGAGAACTTTTCTGCACTATTTTGTAAGATAAGAGGAATCAAAAATTGAATTAAAATTAAACCCAGTAAAAAGAATGAATAACTGAAAAAAGGTGATGCAGAAGAGGCATTAATTTGAAATTATTTCCTAATTTTTTTTTTTTTTTTTTTTTTTTCACAAGCAAACTTAAGTCTTAACCCCCTTCTCTGCCAATTATTTTGGGAAAAATGTTTCATTTTCAGAGAAAATTTTTAATCAGTTTTTAATATAGTAACTTGAAGTACCTGAGCAGTGGCATGTGTTCACGATTAGTTAAGTTGACCATTTCTACTGAGTAGTGAATTTGATCCTCACTTGGTGCACCATACAAAATTCAACATTAAATAGCCCAACAAAGATTGACTTATAAAATCAACCAAGCTTGAAGTACCCAAGCAGTGGCTAACACCTCTACCAGACGTAGGAGTTGACAATTGGACTCATTTCAAGCTCAGAAGGACATAAAAAGAATCAAGATCAACGTCTAATAAATACGTCTGTTGCTGGTTTTGGACATGTTTATTCATCAGTGTCTGGAAAAGACACCTTTCTGGTAAAAACATGTATACACGTCTACGCTAGGGAAAGGGTTAAGAAATAAAATAATGAGCAACTAAATTAAAAAAAAATACATGTGTGTATTAGTTTACTGATGACGTAATTCAGTTACTGGTGAGGTAAATGTTAATCTTATGTGCCTTTTAATATTTTTTTTTCTTGAATATTGTTTTACTCTTCATTCTTAAGAGTTTTTTTTTTTTTTTTTTCATTACTATCATCCCCGTTTTTTTTTTTTTTTCATTACTATCATCCCCGTTTGATTAAACATGTTTAAATAGTCAGCTATTGTAATAAGAAAACTCTATTATTAGTGCAAGTGGAGATAACTCTAGTTAATTGCCTTGCATTGGTGGTATTGGCATTTTTTTTCCCTTTAAATCATTTCACACTCCAAGTAAGACAATAAAGCCACTAGGATGCAAGGGGTTACTGAGTGTTAGAAAATATGAGAAAAACTACTATTAAGGAGAGAGGACAATAAAAGAATAATTAAGACAAAAACAATGATTGACATTGCATTTAAATTTTTGAAGATTAAAGTCAACTGGGAAGCAAGAAACTGGAAGAGAGTTCCACAAGTGAGAAGAAATGTTAGCATAGAACTTATGGTTACATCTATACATTTTGAGTGTAAACTGATGAAAACTTGCCGCCAATCTAGTACTGCACTTAAAATCATAGTCTAGATATCATAGATATTGTATATAATAAATATAGGAATATAGAAATTGTATATAATAGATATAGGAAAATTTATTTTGTGTATAACACTTTTTTCTATGTCACCAAAAGAGTCCACTTCTTTTAGCTTTTTATGAAATATTTTCTGTAGGATAGTTATAGTATTTATCTTTCTTGCATAATGTGATATTAGTTATAAATCAATAGTCCTGGGTATGATGATAAACTACCTCTGGCAGCAAGGCTTCTGATCAAGAGATTGGAGATTTTGAGGAGTGTGGAACCACCACTTAGTTGCTGATGTTCCCAGGTTCACCCTGACCCAGGGTGGTAGAACCTGTTAGGATCCCAGCTATGGGAAAATAGTGAACCCCCAAACAAAAATAAAACACTATGAAAGTATAAAAATACCAGCAATGCATTTTTATAATAAAAATTACCAGCAATACATTTTTATAATAAAAAAAATACCAGCAATACATTTTTATATAAAGAAAAATACCAACAATATCTATTTATAGTAAGATGATCAATATGTTTTAAAAGCAAAATGACTAGAATTACCAACAATACATTTTATTGCAAAATGACCAGCAATACATTTTATCTGTAGTTGAAGGTTTACAATTATCTTTAAAATGTTTATTTGAAGCCATAAAATTGTTTAAAATATTTAGATTTTGGCATTAAATAACTCATAGAGGTGTTGATATGCTGCTGAACAAAATCAATCAGTCAGTTATAAATCAATTGATAAAACCTTGTGATATCCTCTTGTTTTTTTTTATTCCAGGCAAATGGGTTGGAGTTGTTTTGGATGAACCGAAAGGCAAGAACAATGGAACAGTGCAGGGAAAGACTTACTTTCAGAGCCCTGAGAATCATGGCATCTTTGTACGTCAATCCCAGGTAAAGATGTCAATATTCATTGGCCATTAATTTTCTATAGTCTATTTTGAGCTTTTTGTTTTGAAGTGTTGCTGATGATGTTTGTTTTGTTTGAATTAATTCATTAATAATGCAATTTTATTTTTTGGGTACCCTCCTCATGTCTGCTGTATTCCTAGAGAGAAACACTGGGGTTTCTGTCCTCCCCAATCATCTGATTGTCATTCTGAAATTACTCCAGAATATCTGCAAAGTGTTTTGCACAATTTACTCTTGTTGAAAAATCAAGCTTCGATACTGAAATGTATGTGTTGATTGCTCGGCTGTGGATTTGTGACAGTTTGAGTGGTGCATTCTTTTGCTTAACTTTTGCATCTTTTTAACTCAGTTCTTGGCCTTTTACACCTTTTTTTTGCCATATTTTCAATTCCTCTCTCCCTTCCAGTGTCATCTGAACCAAAAGGTATAGTATTGTAGTCTATAGAAAGATCAAAATTCCAACAGTTTGAATCTGCTAGTCTCAATTCCTCAGTGATGTAGAAGTCAAATGACTTACCTGCTAACATGACTGCCTTCTTACATCTCCCCATTAAATGACTCAGGGCTAGATTCAACTTGGTGACTACACCAGTCTACTTGTGTGTCAAACCACTTGCAAGCTAACCAATATTCTACAAGTGAAGCTCTAAAATTTCCACAAGAGGAGGAGGAATCTCATCCCATTTGAAAATCAGTATTTTAATCACTGAAATAAATACATTATTTTTATCGCTAAATTTAATAGCATATATAGCACTTGGATTAAAAAAAAATATATTCCTTCATTTCAACAGGGAAATACTGGTAGTCAGTAAAAAGGCTAAATACTGCCTGTTGTGTTGGTATCATTTTATAGGCTATCAAATTTTTATTTTTTTTAATAATGTTCACCCAATACAAGGCCCAAGGGCCACTCAAGGTAGAGGATTACTGTGTGGAGTTGTATTAGCATAAGAAAGAAAAGGCAAGATGTGATATTTTGAAGGCTATGCAAGAAAGATATTGTAATTTTCAGAGAATAAACTATAGTAGTGAATTCAGAAACAATTCAAAAAATTTTAGCATTCACTGTGCTCAAAGCTGTCTTGGCCCTCAAAGTCTCACTGTTTGTGTGATTTCCTGTGTTATTTGTGATGATGTCATCATATATTATGGCAAAGTATAAATGGTGCTGGGAAGGCACAGTGAAGTTATGGATGGTGTCTTGGATTTAGGAATCGGAGAGCCAAGTTCGAATCCCAGTTGAATCCATTACATTCATTTACATGCTAATACCCTCGGGAAAGGTATGAATCCTCTTCTCCTCCCAGGTATAGGTAAATAGCAGGACATACTGGATTCTATAGCCTTGGATGGCAACTGGTCTACTGCAGAAAGAAATGGCAACCTACTGTGAGAAAAAATCTGTCTTGTCAGTCATGATACATGATTGCATAAGTGTGTATCACACATGGCACGTAACTGACAATATTCAGTCCCCCCCCCTCGAGGGTGTCATGTGGCACAAGGCCTTTTTAATGTGGGCATTCCTGAGCCATTAGGCTCGGCCAAAAAATAGCCCATTGAACCCGTATAAATGGGTTCTGGGCCGGTTTTACCTCCCCGAAGGAGACTCCGCCCTTCGGCGTAGCTTCCTTCGGGTTCCTCCCGCCCGTAGGAAGAGAGTACAACCACACAGTCGCTCAAGGGCACGTAACTGACTGATACATGGTGCAAGTTAAACATTGAGAACCTATATTCACGGGGTGGGTAATGGTGGGTTGAATACTAAAGAGTTAATTTAAAACAAAAAAAGAAGGCCAGATAATACAGAATGATATTTTATGTTGTATGTGGTTTTTATTTTTTTATCTTCATTTCACCCTAAAGAAGGTGATAAAGCCACTAAGGCACAAGGGGTTACTCAGAGGGAAAGATAATAAATAAACAGGATTCAAGGAGACAGAAGATGTCACATTTAAATTTTTGAACATCTTGCTTGACAGGAAAGCAAAAAGCCACAGGAGAGAGGTGCAAGATAAGAAACTATTAGAATAGAACTTAGTTATATCTAACAATTTCAGCAGTAAAATAAGACCTAACTGCCAATCTAGTACTATACTTAAATTTATAAAGTTGAGGTAGCAAAGAGTAAAGTTAAGTGTCAACAAATAAAAACAAATAAAAGAAAGCAATTAGACAAGATTAAATTTAATCTTGTTTTTACAATTACTCTAATCTGTTAACACTCCACAAATTGTTCTTTAGTTGTCTTTGAACTGACAAGTATAGCTAGTATCAGTTTTACATAATCTGTCTTTGTAGACAATGTAATTACATAGGCATTGGCTGTGGATTGGGTATATATTGTGGCTGAGAAATAAGTTCTGACTATATGAGATGCTAAAATATTCCAAGTAAGGAAACTCTATGAGAAATCTTTAAAAGATTCTAATATTTTGCTATGTGTGAATGTATGTTGTGGTGTAATGAATATTGGCTTGGAGTGAGAAGTCAGAGAGCCGGCTTCAAATCCCAGTTGAGTCTATTAGATTCACTTAAACACCAATACCCTTGTGAAAGGTATGAATCCATCTCTTCTCTCCACCAGCTATGGGTTAAATAGCAGGACAGCATTTAGCCTTGGTTGGCAACCAATCTACTGCAGAAAGAAATGGCAACCTACTGCAGGAAAAATCTGCCTTGTCAATCATGTGTTGAAAGATACAGGATCGCCCAAACGTGTATTACATATGGCATTTAATTGACTGATAATTTTGCATACCTTGTTTTATTTATAATGTTTGGAATAAGTATCAGCTTAGTAATGTGTTTTTTTTTTTTTATATATAATAAAAATTTCTCAAATTCTGTATTTCTAAATTGCAGTCTGATCAGGCATTCTTCTCTGACTAATATTTAGTATATCCGCAAAAAAAAGGGTGTGTCAAAAGGACGGATTTTCTCTTGACATCGCTATTACTGTGTACTCCCTCTGAAATTTTTTATTGTTTTAAAAAGCTATGTTTAGAATTTTAATAAAACCCAAACACATGAAACTGGATTTATGCATTCTCATTTTTTTCTTGAGAATGGCTTACAGGAGAATTGAACGTTATTCTTGTAGAAAAACAGTCTAATAAATAGTGTTTAACTTTTTTGTTGTCAATTCACCAAAAAAAAAAAGTATAAATCAAGATGCTTACAAGCTATTTTAGTGAATTCATATGGAAAGTGTAAATGCAAGAAATACCTAGAAAATGTATTTTTTTCAATTTATAATTACCATAAATTGCAGCATAAAAGTTGAGTTTTCAAGCCTAAAAAAATGTTTGGTTTAGAGGAAAAGACGTTCTCAACCTATTTTAGTGAATTTATGTAGCAAGAGCAAATGAAAGAAATGCCCAGAAAATGCATTTTTCAAAATTTATAGTCAGTTACACATCATTATGTGTTCATTTAAATTTTCCTGTTCTTGTTTATAGATCTTTTTATAAATTTGTGAATAAAACAAATTTGTTTTCATAGTTATAATATGGTAAATAATATATATTGTATTGTAGTTGGTTCACATATTTTCATAAATTTGTAACTATAAAATTCTTGTAACTAATCTAATAAAATATATAGTGTTCAATGCTTTTGCTGTCAATTCTCAAAAAAGAATACAAATCTAACAATTTAGTGGTAGTTTCAAGATAAAAACTATCTTTTTGACACACCATTTTTGTGAGTACATATGTTAAACTTTGCCTTTCCCTGTAACTGATACCATGTTCACAATCTTTATTTCTCTGGGCTGCATTTTCAGAATGAAAATTTGCTCATGCCTCACCAAAGGGAAATCTTGGTGAAAAAGCACAAGCAGCCTTATGGCAAAGAAGGTCCAGAGAGAGAGAGAGAGAGAGGATTAAAGGGAGATAACCATAGATTTGAAGTTGGAACATTACGATTGGTAACTACTCTCCTCCAATTTGCAGAGCCTAGTTACTATATTCTTAATACTTGATATAATACAAAAACATCATAATGATAAAATGATTTATTTATACTGTGATGCAATTACACATAATCCATAATAATATTTTAAATTTTGAAATCATATTTTTGGCATATGAATTTTTTGAAACTGTTTCTAAACGTTTGATTGTCTTTCAATCATTCAGCCTCACCTGCTATCCTCTTCTGCCGCACCTATGAGGTGTGCCGCACCGTTTGGGAACTACTGATGTGATCCATTACTGCCTATTTTTGTTACTTGGAATATGGAAGGACAGCCAAATAACTCCCTTTGCTCTTAATGTACTTAATATATAGGACATCCTGATAGTTTCTTGAATCATAAGACCAACCAATCAACCATATCTTAAACAAATTTTGTGTTGTTCTCTATGCTTATCTATGTTTTCAACAAAATCAAAAAGAAGGAAAAAAACCCAGTTTTGCAAAAAGTAAATCCTGGGTTCACCGTCTCTGATCCAACTTTTTAGTTTCTGCTATATCTGGGCTGGAGCTGCTCAGTCTACTCTTTCCAGTTTTGTTAGAGTTCAGAAGCGTCTACGTAGTCTTCTGGGTGATGAATTATTTTCCACTCTACAACCCCTATCCAACAGATAAATCGTCACAAGCCCTTTGCTATTCTATTGCCATTTCCATTAGCAAATGTTTTCAATAGATACATTCCTTAGTTCCATTATTTCTGACCTTAACAGCTAAGACATACCATGCCATGTACACTGGGATGATTCATCTCCATTCCCTTCGTACTCCATTAGTAAGAAGGAATTCAGATAGATTCTTCTCAAGAACTGATATATTGTGGAACAGACTCCTGAGAGGATGCCTTCCTGATCACTACAATCTTAACCTCTTCAAGACTAGAGTTAACTGTTATCTTTCTGAGATATGCTCATAAACTGCACTTAGCTCTTCCTTTTATGCTCATACAACCACCTTATTCACTCACCCTCTACCTTGAGTGGCTCTTGGGGCTTGTATTTGGT